CCAATCTGCCTTGGAGCTACTTAGTGGTGTGAAGTAGAGCAGATATTATAGGGTCACTCCAGTGATTTAGTATCATTATCACAACACTTGGTTGACTTGCAAAACATACAGTAGATTAAAAGAAATAGCAGTAAAATGCAACCATAATGCAACTGGATTGCAACTAGCAACACCTTGTTTGTAAGGTGGGATGCATGGTGGTATTTGTAGTTTTTAATGCCATGTTTAGAGAGGACAACATACAACAGACGGATTTGTAATAATCTCCATGAAGACTATACTGGTATTATATGTAAACCCAGTTGAGTACCTCTGTCTCATTACTTGCTAATTTTGTCCAGGGAAAATACATTTTTGAGTGACCTCAATTCAGTTATTTGAAAAAGACCTACTGAAATATTGCTAATGCATGTTCATAAATCTATTACAACCTACTACCACGTAGAAGCCACTTCAGTAAGATGAATTGGTTGAGGGGTCAAAGGAAAATGTTGTATCACCCTGACACGTCAAATCCTCTCCACCTTTGGGTCTTGTGTGTGTGCTATCAACAGACATCACCCCCCAATCCCACCCCTCTATAGCCCCTCATTAACATTGTTGGGCCATGTTCAAAAGTAGATGCCTGCAGATGAGTTTGGGAGTACAGTGACACAGACTCATGCTGGTATTTGCTGCGGCCGTTCGACCTGCTGGTGTGAGTCTGGGTCAGCTGTCAGCCGGACGATGATAGATTTCGGTGGAAAAATACTTGGAGTTTGAGCTATGTCCTTCTCACTGAAGTCCTTTTGCTCCCTGCTTGACAAGGCAGACGCCCTAAAAATAAAAGGTGCACGGGCGTGTGTGACCAGAGACAACGGTGTAAGATATCATAGCTCAACATGGAGTGACGTCCCTGCTTGTGTTTGTGGATACAAAGAAAACATGCGGACAAATCTAGCACACAAGAGCAGAGTCTCCTGTTGGTATGGGGTGTGATGGTTTTGTGTTAGATGTTTTGTGTTTTTTCTTTGTTACGTATAAATAATATTTTGTACGTGAAGTTACACAGGTGATATTATTATTAAGGGCTGAAACAATCAATTATTGTCATTTTCGATCTGCTTATTCTATTATAGATTTATCTATTGAGTGTTTCATATTAGTACAAAGTAATGTCTTTATGTGTCTTCCAAACCCAAAGATACTACCTTAATATGATATAAAACAGAGAAAAGTAGGAAATATCCATATTCTCAGGGCTGAAAAGCAAGCATTTTCTGTCATTTTTGCCTCATGAATTACTCAAATGACTGCTTGATTATCAAAATACTTTTTCTGGTAATCAACTCATCGTAAAATAATTGTTGCCGCTCTATTATTATTATAACTTCGTTTTTAGATGAATTAATTTATTATAAACCATTTTCTTTTTCTCATCACACTATGTATATAAAAAGAAAATGCATGGTAATACCGTGTTTTGTTACATTTGAAAATAATGCTTCACAATAAAAGCAACATTTGAAACAAATGGCTTTATATGGTGTATTTTGTTGCCATATTTCCATGAAGCCGTAGTCCAATCAGGCATCAAAGTGAATACCAATGCTCGATTATCTTGAGTGCTTTCATTATAGGACATTTATATTCCTCTGGTCCCAGAATTAGTAAGAAACCTGCCGTACCCTTCAGTTTAACCTGGTCACTATGGCAACGTTTTCCATCTTCCAAGTTTGATTAAGATGGCACTTTGAAGGATAAGAGTAGTTCATTTAAAGAGTGAGAATCTGGAGGAGAGGATGCTGCACCCATGTTGATGGACGTTCACGGTTTTAAACAGTGTCACCCTCCTCGGTTAAAGGGGCCCTATTATGCTCATATTCAGCTTTCATATTTGTATTTTTTGCCTCTACTGTGACATCTTTAAATGCTTTAATGTTCAAAAGGAGCTTTACTTTTCTTATACTGGCTTGTGCTGCATCACCTATTTTCACCCTCTTTCTGAAACCAGAGCCGAGCGTGCTCTGATTGGTTAGCTAACATACAGTACAATGTGTTGGAGTGCTAGCCAATAGAAACGCAAGTGTTACATAGTGATGTCAATATGGCGCAAAAGTAAACAAAGGACTACAATTGAGGTGTTTTAGGCAGGGGGGGGGGGGGGGGGGCAGTGTGTGGGAGAGAAACTCTAGCATTGCAGACAACTTACCTGCACAAACACCTTTATAACACACTACAGGAAAGAGAAAGCCCCAAAAGCATAATAGGGCCCCTTTAAGAGTATCTGCATGACTACAAATAAGCTTGACTTAATGTGACAAACAGTTACTACTCCACTACAGCGGAGTAGCATTTAGATATTTTATTCATCATAGAACATAAGTAACTTCTTGGTATTAATTGGGTCAAACATTGTCAACACTTAGCCGTTTATAAATGTAAGGTTAGACAGAAACATGTGACAGTAAAATACTGATCCTAAGAATTGAGAATAAATGATGACACCTTTAAAAACGGATTAAAATGATTGTGGGTGAGATGTGCTGAGTGTGCATCATTGTTCTATCGCCCCCTCTGTCCTCGAGGGCCAATGCCACTAAGGTCCACTTGTGTTTACTCAGAAACAGAACTATGCTTGGGAGGGTGGTGATGCCTTGAAGAAAAAGTGATTAAAGGAAGAAACCGCGAACATAAATGTTATTTTTTTTAATGTGAAATGGTCACAGAGGATTTATATTTACTCTAGATATGGGATTATATGTTCTTATTTCACTCCCTGCAAGAAGTGAATGGGTAAATAAAAAAGTTCAATTCATTATTTACTTGGCTTTTAGTAATCAGTGTGAATATTCAATAAAACATAGCATGGGCAAAATCTGATTCAACATAACATTTTCTTTCCATTCAACCACTGTCCATTGTGCTTTATTCTGTTTCCTGCTTCCTGCTTCATGATGTTCCTACCCGGTGGCAACATTGTTAGATGTTTCATTTGAGATAAGAGACAATTATTGTACCGCATCACATATACTATCGCTATCAGGAATCTCTAACTACAGAATGCAATCCAGATACCGTGTCTCTGTGCCCTTGGTATTTAATGACATTTCTTTCTGTCCAGGCAGATAGAAGGAATCTATCAGAGCGAGAATTTGACTGAGTCTGTTTTTCTGTCTTTTGTACTACCCTAAAATTGCCCCATTGGTGGCTCAAGATCACAAAACCAATGCTGAAATCCTTATTGTTATTAAAACTACACAATAAATCTAGGTTTTGGCTATTTAACCTGTCTCATTTCTTGAACCAATATGATTAGAAATAATGTAAACGCTTAACCGGCTGCATTTGTTTTCACGGCACATTTCCTTTATTCTGCAAATCTCTTCCTCTAAACGCAGTCAATTTCAGTCCAGCTCTCACAGCATTATGATTCACAGAGGCCAAGTATGAAATGAGTTTCTTTTCTGACAGAACACATCTTGACTGACAGTTCAACAAATGAGAAATCATTTACTGTGAAAAGAGCGGCCGACCGTTGCCTTTTTCTGAGGCGAGTGTGCCTCTGTGTGTGTGTGTGTGTGTGTGTGTGTGTGTTTGTCTGTAAATGGCATTAAAAATGGATTGAATTTTAGGTTTGAGGCATCAAAGCCACAATAGCAAGGCTGTCAGCTGACACTGTTGTAAAAATAAATTATATGTTGTACATGGAGGGTCAGAACAACAGACAATACTTTAATCCACTGCATTGTTGCAAACATAATTCTTCATTAGTTTATTTAGTATTTTGGTTAAACAGCAATTAGTGTACTCATTATAGTACCATTCAAAAATAAATCTCATATTTGACATTTTGTTTAAATGTGTTTGTTGGGTGTGTTCTGTATGCAGAATTCACATTTAAAGTAAAGCATCAAGACAAGGTTATTATCCAAATAAAGGTTTTATAAAGGGACACTTTCAAGGTCTTTTGGTGTGTAAGACATATTCTCTTATTAGATTTCCTGAAAAATCTTTTTTAAATGTGTGATACATTTCAACAGAAGCATGGCTACTATCTCACTGCTATTACTGCTCAGGCTGATGAAATTATTACATTTCTAGAAAACCTTCTTTGCATGAATGCCATTTACAGTTTCTTAAGCAAATATTCTTAAAGCTCAAAGCCTTCAGACCTCTATTAAAAGGGCTCCGTTCATTAAAACAGAGTGTACTGCTTCATTAAACAAAACCCTTCTTTAAAATGAGCTGCAGAATAGAAGCCATAAAAGAAGCAAACCCCTTCTGGTCCAATCCTCTGAAAGACATATTTTTCTAACTTCGCCACTAATAGCTTTTGGCATAGTAATGTACATATCGTCACTTTTCACACAGATTGGCAGACTTTCAAGCTATTTAATTGACAATTTTGCAAAAAATATAACTTTGATGTTGAAATCAATATCAATAATTGAAGAATTAAAGATTGAAGACTAAGAGCAATTATATACCAATTGAATGTGTTTAGTTACTCATAAGGAAATATGATACATTAATTGCCACACATGCCTTGTAAAGGACGCATTTGTGACTTTAGATTAAAGTGTGATGCTGCCATCTAGTGGTTGGAAAGGTTTACTGATATCATTCCTGCTATCTGATTATTTTTGGCACTCACTGCACAAAGGGGCATTTCAGAATTCCCATCATTTAAAAAAATGTGTTTCCAATAGCATAATACAGGGCAAGATTCAGACATGTGTTAGTTACTGGATAAAAGAGACATATCTCTCATATGCGAGTGATATAGATGTGTATGTGTGAAATTATACCTGTATAAGAGAAAGGGTAAACACAAATATATAGTCCTGGATGTAAAGATGAAGAAGACTGTATCTTAGAAATCTAAAAACCCTGTTTAGAAAACCCTAAACCAGACCAGAGTAGTTTGAACACTCCTGCTAATAAAAAACACTCATCCAAATCAAATTATCATCCTCCAATGACTTACCATACCATTGCAAAACAATTAAAAACAAAACAAATCTTGCATGTTATTTATTACTTTTTTTTTTTAGATTTACACGTTATTTTCACATTTCTTTTAAAAAAGGCTAACAACTCTTGGGTGTTACAGGTATCCAAACACAATGAATGCAAACAACTGCATTTGTTGCACAGTTCAGAAACATCTTCAGAAGTGTAGCCTATTAAATCACAACCTGCTTCGAGAAGCAAAGTCTAGAGCTTTCCTTATAACTGAGTCATGTCCAGGTCCCTAGCAAGAACAGAATGCTGTTCTCTAAATTGCAATAAGACAAAAACCTTAAAAGATTAAATGCTCTGTCGTATGCAATTTCCGCATTAGTAGTTGGGTATTTGTATCTTTAATTGTAATGATCAATATAGAGGGATGAGTAGAAAAGTAAACTGCCAATATACATGTATGTGTATGTACTATACACACATACATACACACACATACACACACACAAATACGGAAAATGGCAAACAACCTCAGCATCACTCTTCAAAAAAATAATATTTTAAGACAGAATTCAATCAAAGGAGGGGGAGGCCGAAGAGGAACAGGGAGGTAGATAGTAACACGGGGGAGAGACAGAGAAGTAGTGAGGGATCTTGGTAATTCCCTCTAGCTTATGATTCTTTAAAAAAAATGTTCCTTTAATCAAAGAGGATCCAGATAATCTCATCTGTAATCTCAGTTTAAGTGCAGGGTGGCGAGTGGCTCTGCCCTCTCCTGCCTCTCTGGGATTTTAGCTACGTGCTGTCCTTAAAACGATGTTCAGTGCTCGCTCACTAAGTTCATGGTTTTGTACTTGCTAATTGCCACTGTTGCCCCCCCCGCAGCACTGGCTGCTGCGGCTCTGAGGCGCAGACTCCTGTAGATCCACTCCTGTCCTGGTCCGCCCCCCCGCTCCAGCTCCCTGGGGGTCGCTCTTCGGGAGCTTCTTTGCTGCAGGGACAGAACAACAGATGTTTGAAAAGAGCTATGGTAAATTGTAGCATAACAAAATAATCTTCACACTTACAAGCTTTAAGTTTGTCTTCACCTAAAATCTCTTGGACACAAACAGCTCTTATTTGAGCGAACCGCTTGTATTTAAATGTTTCTTTTGATTTCCGATGAAGTAATGTGGACATATATCTGCTTTGGCCCCAATAGGGATGTGCCGATCTGACAGTCAGTGTCAGTCTCAATCAAAAAATGGCCAAAAATCTATTGAGTACCTATCTAATTCATGTGAGGTCAGTCAAAGTAAGTTATCTTGTTTTGAAATGTGTGTAATTGAACTTACCAATAGCCATGAAAATTTCATTGACGTTCATGGCAGTCTTAGCTGAGGTCTCCATGAACAGCAGACTGTTGTCCTCAGCGTATGTTTGAGCCTCCTAAGCACATCATTTAGATATTAAGGGACACAGATAAACATTTACAGCACTGGAAAGTTTATTACAATTTTACAATTAAATAAATTAAGACTCAGGCTTTGAATGTGTGAACTCATTGTGCTGTACTTCGTCATACCTGAAGGTCTACGGCTCTCTTGTTTGCGATGTCGGCCTTGTTTCCAGCCAGAGCGATCACTATGTTGGGGCTGGCTTGTCTCTGCAGCTCCTTCACCCAGTTCTTTGCTCTTGTAAATGTATCCTAGTTGAGCAACAAACTGTATTAATATCGATGAATGTTCACACATGATAACTATATTTAGGCTGAGTGGAACATATATGTATTGTCACTGTGACGTCAAAACACCTTCATGTCTGAACACCTACAAGTGTAATTTTAGACTAGGTGACATTTCATTGTAAACTCAGAACCTACAGTAGGCTGCTCTACCCTTCAACACAGCTGCCATACAATTAAATTACATCTCCTAAAATATTAAAACATGTTCAATGACTTCTGATTATATTCATAGTTTTGCCTCAACTTGTGAATCAAGATGTTTTTAGTGCCACTTTTGGTAACAATAGCGAGGAATAGGAAAACAATTAAGAAAGAAAAAACATTATTAACATTTAATGGCAGAAAATGCTTTTGTTAGCCTCATAAAGAAAATTCAATTAGCTGCTTTACTGTTATAATTTGTGGTAACTAAATAACTTTGGGTTTTAGACTGACACAACAAGACTATTTAAAAAGATATGACCTAAGATTTTCCAAACAGTGATCATTATTCAAATTTGTAGACATTTAATTGACCAAACAAAATAATCAGAAAAGAATTGGCAGATTCGTCGATACTGAACATATTTCTTTAGTGGCAGCCCTATAGGCCACTTAAGTGAAGTAAAACTAAAACACTACTGCTAGAGCAACAACTCGTCTGAGTGTATCATGGCGTGGTTTCCCTGCAGGTGAAACCTACTGTGTTGGTGATGTCGTAGACCACGATGGCTGCCTGCGCGCCTCTGTAATACATTGGAGCCAGACTGTGGTAGCGCTCCTGACCGGCTGTGTCCCAGATCTCAAACTTCACAGTGGTGTCGTCCAGACAGACGGTCTGAGTGAGGAAGGCGGCTGAGGAGAGCAGGATAATGGAGATCAGTGGAATGACGTTGTTTTAGTGTCCATGTGCGCAGCAATTAAGGGCTTAAATACTCTCTCAAACTCATACTCTCTCAAACTGGATTTTGAATGATACATGTCACTTCTTCTGAGCATTCAAGTTCATTTTTGGCATTGGGAACAGGATGTGTGAAAATATCCGTAGGTAGATGTGACAATGTCTTTATATTTACATTTCTGAACTCAATATATTGGAACTATTGTTGATACATTCAATGGTATTCACAATCTGTCAACTGAGACGGCCAAAACACATTTTGAAGAAAAAAACACTTCTTCAAAAGTCAATAGGTATGTTTTTGTCTCTTACCTCCAATGGTGCTTTCCTGGAATTCATGAAACTGGCCTTTGACGAAGCGCAGCACTAAGCTGGACTTGCCCACGGCTGACTCCCCGAGCAGCACCAGTTTGAATTGGCAGATTTTGCTTGCTGCGGCAGCACCATTTGGCCTGGTCGATCCTCCACCACGCCCAGCCATTGACAGAGAAAGGGGCAGTTAACTATGAGATGGGCTGAAACTACAGGTTAACGCCGAGTCTGGAAGCACTGAGTGTGAGCGGGGTCAGAGGCCAAAACTCCCGGTGGGAAGAACCAGATCGGATCGGGCAGCGGTTGGGTCACCTAGTCTACCTTGAAGAATAAAAACATGGGAAATTACTGGATTATCCGTGGAATTATTAGAACTACTACACACAAAACAAATTATGCATAACCAGTCGGGCCAGATGTATTGCCAAGGAACCTTAAACATAACACAAATTGCCAACTAATTCAACTTTTTTAAATTCAAAACATGACCTAGTTGTAGCTTTTCAAAGGTGACGTTTTTTCTGTGCTCTGTATCATAAATGAAACTGAAGATAGGCAATGGTACATTTTTTTTTTTTTTAAAGAAGTCATTTTGAAAGTCTGTAAACAAATTGTTCACTTTTTCCTGACATATTTGGGAGAAAAGGATGTATCATTCATGATCATTTGCAGAGTAATTGATGATAAAATAAGTCTTATATTGCAGCCCAGTTATATTTGTTTGTTTATAGAAATAGGACAGGGACTCAACCTTTATTTTTACTTTTTTAGAATTTGTATGTGTTTATTTACATCTGATTATCTTCTACTTTACCAGTTAACAACACATACATGTGTACTTTATTAAGTGTACAGTGTAATGTTGGTTGGAACCACATAAACACCTAACTCTATTAACGTTTGTAGAAATAATGTAATCGTTAGTTAGATCACATGTGGGAGATACAGTTTCTAAAAGGTGAGATACTCTGAAGGTTAATCTGTTCATTTAACATAAAACTGAGATGACACACAGCTTTTATTATCTTGCATCACAATTTTATAAACACAGTCTAGAATAAAATATAATGTATATGTATTTGACATAATAACACGACTATAACAATGTCAATGTAAACAAACTGATTAGCCTGCTGATCCTAACTTTGACCGAATAACCATATAAAAAACAACAACTGTAAATTAGCTTCGAGGCTAACGCTCAGTTAGCATGCTAACCTCGGCTAACAAGAAAAAATACTCAAATGACAAACATAGCAAGTTTGCGTTCTTACCAACAACGTAAAGACACCCAATCCTCCCTGTGAATAGTGAGTTGTAACCGTGTTGGTCCTAGTAAACAATGTTCTTTCTTGAAAACACTTTCAGGTTCAGTAAAATATACGCTTCCGCCTTGGGTAACCAAAATACTTCCTGGATTTGTCAGTCATGTGATGCAATTTGCAGCCAATCAGATGGCCGGATATTGGGCCTCAGAGGCAGAGCATCTGTCATATTGAAAACACCTTCGTTCGACGTCATTACACATTTTGAACATATGAAATATAACATTGAATGAATTCTTAACGTATTGATTATATATTACATTTCACGTACATTAATACAACAGTTTAAAAATATAATTTTACTACGATTTTCAAAGAACCTCACATTACTGAACTCTTAATTACATGTTTATATCAGAATCAGAATCAAGTTTATTGCCATACACATTACACATTACACTTTTGAATTTGGTGTCTGGCTGTGCGAACATAAACAATCTGAGAAAATAAGTTGTAAAAGTTGTAAAAAATAAAATGCAGTGTGAGGAGCACACTGTTAAGGATTAACACTCAAAACGCTTATGGGCCTCAGCCTGACAACATTCCTGGTCGGTACTAAAGGACTGCACAGCTGAGCTCACAGACATCTTCAACATCTCCCTGAGCCAGGCTGTTGTGCCCTCGTGCTTCAAGGAAACCACCATCGTACTGTACCTGTACTGTGCCGAAGAAGTCATCTCCATCCTGCTTTAATGACTACCGCCCTGTAGCACTGACTTCCACCATCATGACGTTTTAGTGCTAGTCATAAAATCAGGCCTCCCACTTGTGCATTAATAACAATCTCTTCCTTAATGTGGGGGAAAGAAAGGGGAGTGTTGTCGACTTCAGGAGAACCTACAACCAACACCCCCACCCACTGACAATCAGTGGATGCTGTGGAGCGGGTGAGCAGCACCAAATTCCTGGGGGGGACCATCACTGAGGACCTCTCCTGGAGGAACAACACCATGTCACTCGTCGAGCTCCACCCGATTTAACAGCTTTTTCCCCAGGCTGAACTCTCTCCCCTCCCACCTCTCTCCCCCCTGTCTCCATTGGACCTGGACTTTAATATCCCCCCACACACACAGACACACACATCCAGCACCGAACACTTTTTACGCTGCTATGGACAGTCTTTTGCACTAATGTAAAATGTTTTACTGTAATATATTCATCCACATCTGACTGTTGTGATTTTTTACACATACAGTATTTGTATTTTTTAATCCTCGGGATTGTGGGAAACAATATTTCATCTCTCTGTCTGTACACATAAACTGAAAGTTGGCCAATAAAGTTGACTTTAAGTTATAAATACATATACACAATTACATTTTTAAATCAAATAAATATGATAAAATATGCAAAAATAATGAATATTTTGTAACATCAACAAAAACAATATATATATGTAATTAAAGTGCGTAAATTGGGAAATAATACAGATAAATGTCAATATCTAAAAGTTAAAATTCCATTAGAAAAAGAAAAAAAAGTTATCTATATTTAAAAAAACAACAACAATTGCTGCAACTGATTGATCTTTATTAAGGAAATACTACACAGCATGAGTGTTACACAGAAGCCTGCAGGCTTTTGCAGTCATGCAGGTGCTGAAGAAAGTGACACCTGTGAAAACATGAATAAAAAACAGAATGAAAAAAAACATAAAACATTGTTTTACTTATAATGCTTACTGAACGACGTAGCAATGTTTTTCCAGAAAATATTGGATTAATAAAGGGTCTCAATGAAATATGTGCAGTTTCACATGTTTGGTGTAAATTGTCACATGACCAGAGCTGTTCACTTCCTGGTTGCACCAAGAGAAGAGGATGGCTGCCTCAAAGCTCGCAGGAAAACAGCGAGTAAAGAATGTTGGCGTAAAGATAGCACAATGATTTTTGATATCTACTGTAGGATTGATAAATGCATTAGCAATAACTCAACTTTGTTCAATGTGGAAGCAGAAAGAGTAAACATGTTGACGGCAAAAATAGTGACAGGCGGGATAACACAGTGCATCCAGGTATACACATACATCGTGCTTGTGATAGCAATGAGTCGAATATGGACTATGATCAGCAAACTGATCATGACAGGAACAACGTTATCGGTTTTTTTCAGTTGCTAACACACAAAAATCTCATATAAAGCATAACTATTTAAACTCACACTCAAAGAGCAAAACCTCAACTTAAATCTCCAAAACTCTAAACACATTTTCAGCTCTGCACCCAATTTGCAATTCAACTTGGCACTTTTTGCAAAACACTGCACAGGGGAAATCCAGTGTCAAACATTCCCTCTGTTATTGTAAAGACACATGTGTAGCACAAGTTGTACTTTCCCACAAGGGACATTTGGTCCTTTCGTTGGGCAATATGCAATGCTGAAATAGAGGAGTAGACCAAAGAAGCCCGATAGTCACCTGAAAAAACAAACATTACCTCTATCCTTCTTAACCTGGAAAATGGCTAATATTGGTAACATTTAATAGACCCTAACGAGCATACAGAATCAGAATACCTTTATTAAAATCAGAGGGATGAAACCCACACATGCAGAGCACACAGCACACACAGTGACATGTGGCCTCTGCATTTAACCCATCCTAGTACTAGGAGCAGTGGGCAGCTATTGTACAGCACCCGGGGAGCTATGGGAGTGGGGGTGTCAGATGCCTTGCTCAAGGGCACCACGGCAGGGCCCAGAAGGTGGCCTGGGACCTCTCCAAGTAAACAAATAACAAGTATTCAATATTTGTATTATTGTCTTCACTTCCTCCTCCTCTGTATCAGTTGCACATGTCTCGGCTGCAGCAGCGGCCGTCAGAATACGCTCCTCCTGCGTTACTCAGACGCATGCATTCATCTGCTTTCATGCACTTCCTCACATGGTAGGGACCTGTGAAAACATGAAAAAACACAGCATGAATTATGAGTAAACTTCTACAAGTTTTCAATCAAAGTAATGATTCTGAACTCAATACAGTATGTTATTTCTTATTTGTTAAGAATGAGCACTAGACACAGTAGAATGAGTGGCATACTTACGGGGTCCAACACCAACGGCGATGCTGCCACAGACTTCACCTAACTCGCAGGTTACCACTGAACCTGGACATATCGCAGGGATGCTTGAACAGTGACACGTCAACGCTTCACCTGGGGAAGAAAATAAATAATTTGTGTTCAAATTAATGCTGCATTATTACAGCCATAAACAATTGTCCTTTAGCTGTAAAATCAGTTTTAAACACATTAGCCATTACTGGTTTCGATACACAGAGAAAAGCATAGTGTGGCCTACACACTATATCTTTTTTAACCCGTTATTACTTGACACTTCACTCATATCAACAAAGCACTTTGAATTGAATATACTGCAGGCTTTTTTGTGTCTCCTGAACACTGAACTCACCCTGGCTGACCACCACCAACACCACGAGAGCGAGAATCACAGTCTTCATGTTCTCACCAGTCTGTACACAAATCTGTGTATGGAAAAAAGCAAAGGTGAAAAGTGTGAGGAATGAAAAGCTACTTTTAAGTTGAAGCGTTTTAATAAATGCACATTTGAAAAGAGAACTCAAAGATATCTAACCTTGTATTGCCCCACTGCGTTGTTGATTCTTCTGATCTGTGCTGCCAGCTTATTTGGACTTGTTGAGCAATGTAATCAATCCATTGTCAATCATTCACTTTGAAAGTCGGTAAATACATGTAACGCACAAGTTGTACTAAAAACTAAAACAGTTTTCCAAGAAATGTGGCACACTGTCATTTGTAGGGTAGTATGCAAAGTTGAAATATCAGCATCATCTCACTTTACAATTTTTCTCAATTGCTAAAACACATTTTTTGACGACAGGGCTCATTTTGTCAAAACACTTTACACAATTCACAAAACCACACACCCAAAGTGCAAAACACCTCATATAGCAAAATGAAGCACTGCACTCAAAACTACATAAATACAAACAAAACGTTTGCACCAAATGGCACACACTTCACTTATTTATGTAGTTTTGAGTGCAGTGCTTCATTTTGCTATATGAGGTGTTTTGCACTTTGGGTGTGTGGTTTTGTGAATTGTGTTACGTGTTTTGACAAAATGAGCCCTGTCGTCAAAAAATGTGTTTTAGCAATTGAAAAAAACTGTAAATAATGATGCTTTATGTGAGATTTCTGTGTGTTAGCAACAGAAAAAAACTATAAACTTTCCCACAAATATTTTACTCCTCATGATGGATATTGTAGCATCAGTTTAGGATTTAGGAATTAAATTGTGAAAATTGTTAAATAATACAGATACATGAGAATATTTAAAAGTCCGAATTCCATTTGAAATAAAAGAAAAAGTTATCTGATATTTAAAAAACAACAACAACTATTGCTGCAACTTATTGATCTTTATTAAGGAAATAATGCACAGTTCATGAGTGCAGATTGTTATTATAACTGGAAGTTGTGCTGCATGCCGTTCATGTATCAGTTACACAGATCTCGGCTGCAGCAGGAGCCAGACGACACCTCTGAGCGACTCATCTGCCTGCAGTCATCTGCACTCATGCAGCTCTTGAAGTAGCTGACATCTGTGAACACATGATAAAAATACGAATGAAACATTGAAAGTATCGACTCTAAACTGGTCCAGGGAATTTTTTTTTAATTTATTGTTTACAACACACTGGAATGAGTGGCCTATACTTACGGGGTCCAGCACGAATAACAATGCTGCCACAGACTTGATTGAAACCGTTGCAAGTCTCAACTCGGCCTGAACATATCTTTGTGGTGCCTTCGCAGTAACACCTCAACGCTTCACCTGGGAAATAAAAGACAAAACGTTTGTTTAGTGCTGCATTTTCATGACTCCAAATAATAAAATAAAAAAACACAAACACAGTTCAAGATGAATTGGTTATTTGATTTTTTGCTGTCTTTGTCAGAATCATAATCAGAAACAGGGTTATTGCCAAGTAGATTCACACATACGAGGAATTTACATTGTCCATACATAAACACAGTTAAAGAAGATCAAAGGTAAGAAAAAAAAGTCAATGTAAAAACATTTTAAAAACACTCATGCCAATAAAGCAAATATTGAACAGACAGGAAGTTATTTTCTTTCTCCTGAATACTGAACTTACCCTGGCTGACCACCACCAACACCATGAGAGCGAGAATCATAGTCTTCATGTTTTCACCTTTATAAATACAGTCTATGGTTTTCACGTGTCTGTTCACAAATCTCTATATGAAAAAAGCAAAGGTGAAACGTTTGAGAATTCAAATGTTACATTTACCTAGAAGCATCCAAATCCAAATCCAAATCCAAATCCACACAAAACAAGTTAAGATATCTCACCGGGTCGACTGTCCTCCTCGAGTGTTGATTCCTCAGATGTGTGCTGCCAGGCTGAAGCTTCCTTTTTATTTGGGCTTGTTGCACAATTAAGGGGAAATCCAGTATCAAACATTCCCTCTGTTGTTGTAAAGACACATGTGTAGCACAAGTTGTACTTTCCCAAGGGACATTTGGTCCTTTCGTTGGGCAATATGCAATGCTGAAATAGAGGAATAGACCAAAGAAGCCCGATAGTCACCTGAAAAAACAAACATTACCTCTATCCTTCTTAACCTGGAACATTTCTAATATTGGTAACATTTAATAGACCCTAACGAGCATACAGAATCAGAATACCTTTATTAAAATCAGAGGGATGAAACCCTCTTTAATGGTCACACATGCAGAGCACACAGCACACACAGTGACATGTGGCCTCTGCATTTAAGCCATCCTAGTACTAGGAGCAGTGGGCAGCTATTGTACAGCACCCGGGGAGCTATGGGAGTGGGGGTGTCAGATGCCTTGCTCAAGGGCACCACGGCAGGGCCCAGGAGGTGGCCTGGGACCTCTCCAAGTAAACAAATAACAAGTATTCTTCACTTCCTCCTCCTCTGTATGCTGTTTGACAGAGTCCTGGCAGCAGGCCGGAAAACAATTAGATTATGTGGATTTATTTCACTATAAACTTTACTGAGACTACTTTAATGTCATTTTAATTTAAAGTGGACCTATCATGCTATATTTAAATGATATATTGTAGGGCCATACCTATATAAGGTATATTTATACGTTTCTGTTTTCAAAATACCAAACAGATCATGCATTTTAGCCATGCCTCATTTCGCTCTATGTGCTGTTTGCTGTCTACGGGGCTGATTCTGTGAGACCACGCACCCCTGCAGGAGAGGGTAGCCGTGCTCTGATCAAGTCAAGAGGGGGAGAAAAAAAGATCTCCGTCCTCCGTGTTTTATTTATATTTATTACATGGCTTAGTTGAATACTCGATTCTGATTGGTCAATTTAGAACACGTGACACGTTGTTAATCCAGAACAGACAGACCGCTGTCAAGGACTTATTGACCGTTGTTAAGGACGCTCACATCTGCACAAACAAGTCTGGTCGATTGGACTGTATACAGTTTGGCCGAAAAGCAAACTGCATGCAGTTTGCTTTTCTAACTGACAAGACAAGAGCGACAAGAAAACAGTGGAGAAGTAACGGGCAGAAACCCTCCTTTTTACGCAGAGGTCCAGACATAGACATCAAACGGCGACACATATTCAGTTGCCAGTTACTTTGGCATTAGGGCAGGGATATCTAGATACTTTCCAAGGTTTGACATAATGAATTGTGCTAATTTTAAAGCAAGCAACGATGTTTTCAAATCTGTAATCAAAAAGCTCCGCCTTCCTGCCGTTGCGTTGCTACGTTTTTTTTTTTTAAACGGTAACAACGGACTATTTTCCTTAGCGGATGCATGTCAATTTAAATCAATACATACAACTATTTTTTAAATCAATAAAATCATTTTCTAAATCCATAAAAGCATTTAAATTAATAGTGGGAGTCATATCATTACTTTGTTGAGAATGTGGCCATGTAATAAGCGGGATAATGTGCAGCGACTTGGTCATATACCTTCATGCAGATCTAGATCCCTCCGCTTCGCGTTGGGCTCCTGATCAGCCTGTCGGTGTTCTTTTCCCCATAATGACCGCGTCGCTGCACATTATCCCTTACATACAGTCTATGGTTTTATTATATTATTATAGGCCTATAGAGTCGTTATTCATTTGTTTTAAAGCTCAATAAATAACAAAGAAGACCTTTGACCGGCACTTTTCAAATTTTGTCCGGAAGATTTAAACTTTAACGGACATCTTGACCGGCGAAAGAAACTGAAACTGAAACTCTGCCGCACGGTCCCCTCGTTCCTTGGAAGAGGCGGAGAGGTGGGTGTTTGTCATCTGCTGGTGGACTAACCGGAGAGAATTACAGTGCTTGCCTCGACGGGGAGGGATTGCATTGAATTAAAGCAGCGGGAGCAAACGCTTGCCTCGGGGAGGGAGAAAAAAAGCCACAGCGGAGAATAAACTGAAAGCTAACCATGGTTACCATATGCCGGGAAGTCTTCTTCGCTGCTTTTGTGGCAGACTTCAGCGCCACTTACAGGCCTGGCATATGTACTACAGCGTCTCCAGCGCTTTCGAGCAGCAATGGCCGGCCGTGGCCCAACCCCACATTCCCCTGATAGGTGGAGAGTTGGCCCAATAGCCGTAGCGCCACTTCTGTGACGTCATAGAAGTGTTCAAATCTGTATCAGTCTGTATCAGATCCGTTGCAGCCCCTTTTTTTGAGATTTGGGTATGGAGGAAAATAGAGAGGGTTGTGTTTTCTGACACTTGGTGAGTTCCCTGGAACACTGGGGACACATATTCATGTATAAAAGACGTACAAAAGTGCATTTTGCATGATAGGTCCCCTTTAAGGTTTTTCAGTATTTTTGATCTAATCTGTAATATCTTTGAATGCATGCAGACAGTCTGTTTTATCTGTGTGTGGGGGTTGTTGTTATACTCAATCTTGTGTATTCATTGATATTTTATAAGTACAACCTACAGTTAAAACCCAGTGTAGCCCCTCCAACATTGCTGACAACATGGAAAGCACAAACTGCCTTGATTTACACAAATGATGAAATCCGAATTATTAAAGCCACTCGGTAAAAAACAAAGGTGTTTTAAAATGTATTTGGTCAGTTCTGACTGGACACCTATGCTCGCCTGTAAAACTCAGTAAGCTAAAAAGCCAAACATACAAAATAAACACAAACCATAACAACATGGCAAAGTTTTCCACTTCAAATAGTTGAAAAACACTCAAGGCTATTCAAATGTGGATTTCACATATGCAACATTTGATCTTTAATACGAAGTTTTGTTGGAATTGAAATGAGATTCATGTTGTTTTTAAATACCAATAGAAAAAGAGATAGTGACAAGGCAACGTTGTGACAGATTGATCTTTATTATGAGTGCTTGAGTGCACAGCAGGTTATTATTAAAACTGAAAGTTGTGTTGCAGGCAGTCCATCAGTTGCACATGTCTCGGCTGCAGCAGCGGCCGTCAGAATACGCTCCTCCTGCGTTACTCAGGCGCATGCATTCATCTGCTTTCATGCAATCCCTCACATGGTAGGGACCTGTGAAAACATGAAAAAACACAGCATGAATTATGAGTAAACTTCTACAAGTTTTCAATCAAAGTAATGATTCTGAACTCAATACAGTATGTTATTTCTTATTTGTTAAGAATGAGCACTAGACACAGTAGAATGAGTGGCCTATACTTACGGGGTCCAACACCAACGGCGATGCTGCCACAGACTTCACCTAACTCGCAGGTTACCACTGAACCTGGACATATCGCAGGGATGCTTGAACAGTGACACGTCAACGCTTCACCTGGGGAAGAAAATAAATCATTTGTGTTCAAATTAATGCTGCATTATTACAGCCATAAACAATTGTCCTTTAGCTGTAAAATCAGTTTTAAACACATTAGCCATTACTGGTTTCGATACACAGAGAAAAGCATAGTGTAGCCTACACACTATATCTTTTTTAACCCGTTATTACTTGACACTTCACTCATATCAACAAAGCACTTTGAATTGAATATACTGCAGGCTTTTTTGTGTCTCCTGAACACTGAACTCACCCTGGCTGACCACCACCAACACCACGAGAGCGAGAATCACAGTCTTCATGTTTTCACCAGTCTGTACACAAATCTGTGTATGGAAAAAAGCAAAGGTGAAAAGTGTGAGGAATGAAAAGCTACTTTTAAGTTGAAGCGTTTTAATAAATGTGCATTTGAAAAGAGAACTCAAAGATATCTAACCTTGTATTGCCCCACTGCGTTGTTGATTCTTCTGATCTGTGCTGCCAGCTTATTTGGACTTGTTGAGCAATGTAATCAATCCATTGTCAATCATTCACTTTGAAATTCGGTAACGCACAAGTTGTACTAAAAACTAAAACAGTGTTCCAAGAAATGTGGCACACTGTCATTTGTAGGGTAGTATGCAAAGTTGAAATATCAGCATCATCTCACTTTACAATTTTCCTCAATTGCTAACACAAGCTTTTGAAAACATGGCTCATTTTCTCAAAACACTTTACACAATTCACAAAACCACACACCCAAAGTGCAAAACACCTCATACATCCTGCAGAATGACTAACTGCACCCAAAACGACAACTTTTGCACCAAATGGCACACACTTCATTTATAATACAAGACACTTTGTCCAACCGACTACACACCATTGAACTTACAGGTTTCAGTTGCTAACACACAACAATCTCACATACAGCATAATTATTTAAACTCAGACTCAAAGAGCAAAACCTCAACTCAAATCTACAAAACTCTAAACACATTTTCAGCTCTGCACCCAATTTGCAAATCAACTTGGCACTTTTTGCAAAACACTGCACACGGTTCTCTAAGTAAGACACAGAAATCTGACATATTCACTTGTTTGCCTTTTTCAAAACACTGCCATTAAAAATGCTACACACATGAACCAATCAACAAATACACGTGCCAAATGAACATAAACACCAAACTGCTTTATTGTTGACTCATCAAAAACTATAAATAATTATGCTTTATGTGAGATTTCTGTGTGTTAGCAACTGAAAAAAACTATAAACTTTCCCACAAATAATTTACTCCTCATGATGGATATTGTAGCATCGGCTTAGGATTTTTAATGGCGAAGAAAACATGAAACACTTAATTAAATTGTGAAAATTGTTAAATAATACAGATAAATGTGAATATTTAAAAGCCAGAATTCCATTAGGAATAAAATAAAAAGTTATCTGATATTTAAAAAAGAAAAAAAACTATTGCTGCAACTTATTGATCTTTATTAAGGAAATAATGCACAGTTCATGAGTGCAGATTGTTATTATAACTGGAAGTTGTGCTGCATGCTGTTCATTGCTGTGTATTACACAGATCTTGGGTGCAGCAGAAGCCAGAATACCCCGGTGTATTCAGCAACATGCAGTCTTCTTCAAGCCAGCAGCCAATTCTTGTGTTGTTATCTGTGAAAATATGATAAAAATACGAATGAAACAATGACAGTATCGACTCTAAACTAGTCTAGGGAATTTTTTTTGTCCTTATTGTTTACAACACACTGGAATGAGTGGCCTATACTTACATGGATCAAGAGCCCTGACACAGAATTGATCCTGACCTTCGCAAGTCTGCGTACCATCCGCACGATCTGGACAGAATTTAGACCGTGTGCCTCCACAGTAACACTCCAACGCTTCACCTGGAGACATTTAAAAATAATGTCAAACCATTGTGAAGAATATACTGCTCCATTTTCGAAGCCACAAATGATTGTTGTTCTGTTTAACCAGATATACAGTACTGTAATCCTCATTTTGTAGATGAAGAGTTGTTCATTTGGACAATAGCAAACACACATCATAACGAAGATAAAATAAATCACATACGTCTATTAACAGATAGAAAGTCAGAAAATGATAAGACGTAAAAACATGGATGGCAAACTATATGATCATGACATGATTTAAACAGCGATGCAAATTAGAATAAAACATAAACAAAGCAAAATAAAGACAGGAAATGGTGTGTAAGAGTGTGTGTTCAGTATATGTGTGTATGAAAAAGGAATCATGAATCGTAATGAAAATTGACGCCTACAAGTAAGACATTAAGTGTTTTAAAGCATATTTAAGAGAAGTTTGCTGCAGTTTACTGGTTTCGATTTCAATTCTGTTGAAATAGACAGACACAAACACACACAAATACACAGAGAAAAGCATACTGTACACACTTTATTTTTTTCTTATTTTTTAACTGGTATTTTTGACACTTCACTCATGTCAACAAAGCACTTTGCATTGAATATACTGCAGGCTTTTTGTGTCTCCTGAACACTGAACTCACCCTGGCTGACCACCACCAACACCACGAGAGCGAGAATCACAGTCTTCATGTTTTCACGTGTCTGCAGACCAGTGTCGGTTTAGAAAAAGCAAAGGTGGATAAGCTTAAGAAATCAAATGCAATATTTATGGACACACATTAGTCATGCACATTTGAAAAAAGACATCCCACCTTGTTTAGTCCTGCTGCGGTGTTGATTCTTCAGATGTGTGCTGCCAGAGTGTCAGACTCCTTTTTATTTGGACTTGTTGAGCAATTGATTCAAATCCAGTGTATCATTAACTCTCAAATGTGTTCTTATTTGCCAACAAAACAACTTATCAAGGCCAGATGTGGATGCTGCAATCCCAATGAACCCGCTAATCAACCAGGAAAAGATGTAAATATTACAATTCTCATATTTTAACATTGCTAATGTAAGCCTTGCATAGTCTGAGTTATTCAGATGTACGTAGTTTAACTGGATGAAGACACCTGTGAAGAAAAATGGCCTTAAGCCTGACGCCCTTTATGTATAACATCTTACAACATGTCTCTGCGAAGAAGGGTGGAAGTTTGAGATCAGAAAAGGTATTGTTGTATTGTATTTCATAAACCACATATCAGAAAAACGTAAAGATATCACACCTGGTAAATAGCCTAGCAGAGGGTTAACACATAGCTTCCTTTTTAACCAGCGTAGTTGAACGCATTACACACATCACTCTTATTTCCCCATTTTTGCTTTTCTTATGAATATATTGGTTGTTTGCATAAATCAGAGCTTTTATTTTTGATGTGTATTTATACTGATGCAAAGAACATGCAATATCAATGTTTGTGAGCTGTTCATTGAAAAAGCATAAAGATAAAATATGGGAAAAACTCTTCTTCAACAGATTATTGTAAACACATTATCACTACATGTTAAAGTGAGAGAAATACACACTGTGGGTTTCCTACCACAAGGTGGTGCAATGTGATGGATAAAGACACAACTGAAATATGTTCCTCCAAATGTTTCAAAGAGCAGGTGGAGGCATGGCTGATGCTTATGATGAAAACAGTTGCCACACTATAACATTTGGTGTGCAATGTTAAAGAAGCACAACACCGTTGGGCCTTTGCTTTAAAAATTGTGACAGTTACAACATATTTTTGGCACAAAGTTTAGTGTACGTTGTGATAAGATTTGTATTTGTTTTTTTTGACTAATTCCAACATGTTAAGACACATAAGCTGGTGGTTTCGATTTTGGGATGAAATATTGTTTTGGAAATCTTAGACCTAGTCAATACTCAGGAGATATACAATCAGAATGATCAATCAATAAAATGGTGGAAACAGAGTTGTCTTTCTGGATCTTTATTTGAAGCTTCAAATAAGGCACAGGTCTTACGGAGTACAGAGTATTCTGAAAGAGTGCGCACAGAGAGAGAATTGCGCATAGGTTTTATAGCATCTTTGTCAGTCCACAGTTCAACAATAACTCGTGACCTGTCACTCTGGGGGGCTGGATGGGCAGATAAGCTAAAGCCCACATTCCAGAGGAACAGAAGCCACATATGGGCAATGTAGTAAATCAGGAACTTAGTAAAACAGGAACTGGGTAAAGACAGATGGAAGTGTTGAAACTTTAACCCCCAATGTGTTAAGGCCAGGTGAAATGAGGACAGCAGGAAGTCATAGAGAGGTCAAAACAGATATAAACAAGGAATGAGGAATTCATTGCAAGACAGGGGAAACAAACACAGGAACTTGTTTGAGACACTTCTTCACTTTTGCTTACGACCCTGTTTCACCCCCAGACATCCTTAAGGCTAGTTATATGTTGAACAGAGGGCATGGATTAAAATACCTCCTCATGGGACAACTGCATAGCATTTTACCATATTAGGTAACACATAAAGTTAGTTTGCACATCATATAAAGTTTACACTACATATAGAGTTTGCCATTACATATAAAGTTTATAAGTATACACTGTTATAAAGTTTTCCACTACAATATATATATTGTATTAAAATGTTTTTTGTTTTTTTTATCTGGTGTGGAAACAGAAATGATCTTATTATCTTGTCTTATTATTATGTGTAAAATTGGACTTACTGATGCACTTTATTATTGGACTGACTTAAGAAAATCTTGGTTGTTGCACTTTCAATATTTATTTTACTAATCAACCTATTACAATCCTGTTGTAAAGACATATGTTTTGGTATGCTTTTAATTTCTTAGACCTGTATCCAACCCTGCTTGTAAAAAAGTACTGTTGCCTCCTCGTAGAAAACATGTTCATCATTCTTAGTCATGCATTAGTGTTGTAAATTGACCAAAAGAACAACTGGTCAAATTGTAAAAGCAGACTATTTTAACATTTGTGGTCTACTAGAGCTCTTCATTGATGCCTTTGTTACTATTAACAAAGGAAAATAAAAGGACACAAAATCAGTGTATACGCTTTAAATTTGAAAAAGAGTAAAAGAAAAAGCAACTTTAGAAACACATTTTCTTTATTATGCAAATACCAGAACACACACTACATGACAGTAGCTTATTATTTCTCAGAGGGCATGCTGCGAGTGGAGATGCTGATAATAGTTTATCTGTTGCACAGATCCGTGCTGCAGCAGGAGGAAGAGGATATACCCGGACGATTCAACATCATGCAGTCAGTTGCTGACAAGCAGCCCTGCAAGAAGTTTGGATCTGTGAAGACATGGGAAAAGACAGGATGTAGAATTAGGGGTAATGTGTCTTTTTGTTTTAATAATATAATTATTGGTGGCATAGAAAAGCTCTTACTGGATCCAACAATATTGATCACTTTGGCACAAACCCAGATTCTACCAATGCAGCTATCCTGAGAGCCTCCACAGTTCTGCAGACCTCCACAGTGACACCTCAATGCTTCACCTGCAAGACGAAACACATCTTCAACATGCTAATCAAACTAAATCACTGCAATTCCATTTTAATTTGTGATAAAATAAACTTCAGGTTTGCAGGTTAACTCACTCTGGCTGACAGCCAACAGAAGAAAAAGAGCAACAATCACAGTCTTCATGTTTTCACGATTTATCTGGTTTCTGTTTAAGAAAAAAAGGTGTGAGAAAGTGTTATAACAAAAATATCAGAGCACAATTACACAAACACAAAGAGATCTCACCTGATGGATTTTCCTTCTGTGGTGTCGGTTCCCTGCTTTCCTTTATATACACTCCAGTTGCGTAATTGTTGCATTACATATGATGTGGTGTAAGTTACACACACTTACACACAGACTTACAGGAAATGCAATGTTCAGCACAATACATCCCTAAAACAATACTTCCATCAGGAGAGACGGTTTTGATGTAAGAATACATATTTATTGCAAAGATACACAAATGAATGTAATGGTGATTTTGGCGATTAGGCCCCGTTGTGCAGGAAGTATCATTCGGGAGGGTAGAACCGATCCGATGAAACCCCCTTGGGGTCTAGACACTGGTGGTGGTGAATGGATAGTTGGGTCGGTCTGAAGAGGAGGGGCTTAGCTTGACCCTGGATTCAGAGGGACAGGAGGTGAAAAGGGGTGGAGGAGGGTTGCGTGAAGTCACCTGAAATGACAGCTGTCAGAGGGGGGAGCAGACTTAAAAGGTTTGGCAGAGCGCTATGATAGGCTCTTGGGAATAGAGCGAAGTGATTGGTTAAGCTGGAGAGTGACGCCCCCGATCACTTATTGAGAGGAGAGAGAGTAGTTACGTAGGAATAGTGAATAGACGGTTTTCCTGGTTGAACTTACGCTGAGCTTCATATACTGTAGCATGAAACCACAGAAAATGGAAATATTAGGACAACTGATAATAAAATGTTCCCTAGTATTGTCAACTTTGTGTAATAAGTTAGTGATGTTACTTTATTAAACCGGTCTGAGTAATAAAGCTGCTGAGTGTGATTTGAAAGTACAGTATATGAAATAAAGAGATGTTTCCATCTGATTTTTCTCTGAACTTGACAGTAAAATACACAGTATCAGCACTCTGACCTGTTCCTGATCAAATCAAATGTTGTAATCATCATCAAAATGTCCTCATAAGGAGGAGACACGACCCTTTCTGTCACATTGTGTGCTTGTTCTCTAATGGAGTTGTTGACATGACCTGTTCAAATTCAGCCAATGGACATGAAACACACAGAATAAACTTGGATCATTAAAGAGTTTACTTCTGAGTTTCTTGTCCGAGCACATTCCCTCTCACCAAACACATGAACGATACTGTACGTTCTTATATAATCGGATGAGAGTCAAGACAGATCAGCTAAAACAAGAGATAAACCAGCGTTCACTGAACAATAATGAGAGAAACAACAGCTGCCCTTTTTTAAAGCCAACTGGTGACTTTCTGTGTTGTTCTTACATGATATTTGAATTAACTTGTGGACATTTTCTTCTAAGTAAATGGATGAATGTCTTTTTTACTATATCTTTTTACTATATCTTCAGATATAATTTCCTAAATCTTAAACATCTAAATTATTAGTTCAATTTAAGTTTGATGACAATAATTACTAATAAATCACATGTCTTGGAGGTGTTGCTGATTTTTTTATTTGAGATTTTAGGGGGTTCAAAAATGTTCATTAAAACGTGTTAAGAAGTAAATACTTGTGTTTAACGATAAGTATGGATGAGCTGTTGTCAATATACATGGTGTATTTATAAACCACAACTAGGTGAGATTTTCTCGGGTAATAATTCATAAACAACACACTATATGAATCTCCTATGATGACAAATAAAAGTATGCAATAATACTGTGGAACATAGAAACATGGACAACAACTTGCAGAAAACAAAACCTTGATGAATGTCCAGAAACTGGTCAGTACTTCCTGATATCTCTCTCTCAAATAACAGGAAGAGCCCAAATTCCTTTTCAAGAAAGTTTAGAGCATTGCCTCAATGAAAAAATATTTTAAATCCTGTCAAGTTTATTTAAAGCTTTGACACAAATATGTAATATACCTAGAATATATTTAAGCTATATATTTTAAAGAGAAGTTTAAATACATTTCTGCATACTTTATTTTGTCAGCCAAGGAAAAGTCATTCAAAAGAACAAAAATCCTGAACACTCTGAATATTGAGTTGTTTTTCTCAGGAAGTATTCATATTCTGTAAATTAATGATAGAATTTAATATTTAATCTGATAATTTTTTCCTCTAAATATGTATTTATTATTTATTTATATTGTTTATAGAATTGTAAATCCTTGAGAA